GTGCAAAAAAATAAATATAAATAAAAAAAAATAAAAGTAACACATAAAAAAGTAAAATAAAATAAAAGTCACATATAAAAAAAGGGGAAAAAACCCCCCCAAAATGTTTAACTCCCCCACCCCCACGTTTACGCGCCTATAAACGTAAATACGCGTCCGGTGCCCCAGCGCGCAAAAATTACAATTGCGCTACACATGTTACATATCGCCGCGAACGTCGCAGTGAGAGCAATCATTTTAGGGCCATCAATCACTGATAACACTAAACTGATGAGCGGTAACAGCTTTTAAAGCGTCGCCTATGGCCAATTTTGGGTATTATCGTTTTTTGAGGTTTTGCGCGCGCACGCAATTTTAAGGCTTGACATGTTTAGTGTCTTTTTACCCGACGTGACCCCATCTTTTATATTTTACCAAAAAATTGGGTAATAATAAATGTTTTATCATTTAATATAGGGGAAACTGTTTTTTTTTTTTAAATTTCGGTAATTTTTCCTTAATATAGTAAAAAAATAAAACCCCCAGTGGTGAATAAATACCACCAAAAGAAAGCTCTATCTGTCCCCAAAAAAGGGTATAAAATTCATTTCAGTACAGCGCTGCATGACGGAATAAATGTCAGTCAAAGTACCGCAGCGCTGAATACTGAAAAATGGCCTGGATGGGAAGGGGGTTTAACACCGCGGATGTCAACTGGTTAAAGCTGAACTCAGCAGAACTGTGGAAAATGTAAAAAAAATTTAACTTGCAGTAGCGCATCCTACACACGTCAAGGGTTAAAAAAAACAACTTTATGCCTAGGGTACCAGTAAAAAGGACACCTCCCTCCCAAGGCTGGTCATGGGCAGGGTACTTCCTCACCTCAATATTTGCGCTTCCTACACACGGCAAGGGTTATTTGCTTTACTTGGCCAACACATGGATAAAGCCCACACACAATAAAAACTTTGGCCCCCTTGTCGCTATAGAAAAGAGAACATAGTTGCACAAAGATTTTCCACAATGTACTAGATTAAGTACTTGTTGTTGTTTAAATGTACTCCCTATGGTTTAAAAAAAACTATTTAGATTATATCTGGGAGTCCATATAATTTAACTATTTGAATTAGAATTCGATCAGTGACTAAATAATACTTGAAAAATACAAAAATATGGTAATGTCAGAAAACATGACCAGCCAGAAGTCACTTGGAAGACCAAAGTCTGAATATGTTCAAAATGTATGCTTTTATTGTCTTATACAAAAATGTTACAATAAATAGACCCTTCACAGCACCAAAAAAAACCTTCATATTAAAAATATGACAATGTTGTCTTCATACCAACAGACATTCATACAGCACTCCTTAACTCGTCCTAATTGGCTCTATATGATGATTGCTTCTATCTAAATCCATGGCATGTTCAAATTAATTAACCATTTAACACATATAATATATTGTAGTATACAAAAAAAGCAGTCCAAGATCTAAGTATTCGGGCGTTCCTCCTAAGCAATGCATGAAATTTGACCAGTAATAGTATTGATACTGTTATCAGGATGAATATAACTTGTTGCAAACATTTGTAAATAGATGTATCCAATGTTACAATTAAACAGTGTACTTGTTTCACCACTTGATGTAGTTCAGTCTCGCAACATCAGATTTGATTGAATTACTCAGCCTTTATGACTGCTTCCTGTTTCTATCTCCGTTCATGATTCTATTATCTCATTCATAGAGGCTTCCAGGTAAATCATCTGTTGTTAACTCATCCATGACCTGTACAAAAGTTCAGAAAATGCAAATTTCCTTGCTGTGATTAAACACAGATCGATGCCAACTTAAGGACAATGTCCTTGATTGTGCTAAACCTAGCAGGTTCACAATGCTTTATGCTATCAGAACAGTTCTTAGAAAGAGCTCTTACCCGTTGGCCGGCATTAGATAAATTTTACTCACGGTGATGATTGGATGCAATCAGCTGTATAGCACCAGGAACGTTCACAGCACTTTTACACTTGTCCAGTAAGACTTGTATTCAGTTCAAATTTCATAAAAAATATCTGCCAAGGATTCTACCAAACGATCATGGCTTGTGGTAGATGAGTCCCAGGAGGACAGGTGTGTGCTTCTGTGTTGACGCATTCAACCCCACCCACAACGGGGCTTCGTCAGAACGTAAGGTGAGAGCAATGTTAGCTTCCTTAAAAAGCCCTTACAGTTCGTTTTAGGAATTAACCTTTTCCTTGGTCTCCACCTAAAAATTAAAGTGTGCCTTCACCATGTTAAAATAACGTTCATTATGGGTGATCAAAGCATTGCTTTTGATGTTCAAAACGGGAAAAGTTCACTATCTACAGTAGATAAGATGTTGCAACTAGGTATGAGCTGAACACCCTCGTGTTCGGCTCTAATTCGAACTTTCGAACATGGAAAAAGTTCTAATTCGAACTTAGAACTCAATGCAAGTCTATGGGGGTAGAACTCAGAAAATTAAATGTCCCCATTTTGAAGCCTTATATGCAATTTATTGGTCATAAAAAGTGTATGGGGATCCGGGTACTGCCCTGGGGGACATGTATCAATGAAAAAAACACTTTTAAAAAATACAATTTTTATAGGAGCAGTGATTTAACATCACTTAAAATGAAACATTAAAAATGAAAAATTCCTTTAAATATGGTGCCTGGGGGGTCCCCTTTCGTGACCGTAAAGTGGTGCATCTGTATGATGTATAGAACCTGCTGAAGCAAAAATTACATTTATATACATTTTATTGATATTTATATAGAACTCTAATATATACAGAAGTCTGATATACAGAAGTCCGATATATATATATATACCTGCGGTCAGGTGCAAGACTGTAGCCAATTACAGTTTCGGAGGGTGCAGTGCATTGTGGGATGTTCCGCGGTCGAACAGACCGCGAACATCCCGCAATGTTCGGCGTTCAGCGAACGCTAGAACAGGCTATGTTCGAATCGAACCTATGTTCGAATCGAACCTATGTTCGATTCGAACATGCAGCCCATCACTAGTAGCAACTCGACATATCTGCTATTTTTTTCTTTATTTAAATATATTTATGTATTTTCAAAATATATTACAAAAACGCCTGTAAGTTAAATTCTGTAATCAGCCATTGAAGGGAAAGTGCATTCAGTTTGTAGATTCACATCATCTCTTTTTGTTGTAGAATCTTATCAAAGTGCCCTCTGCTTGCTGATACATATATACCTTTAAATTTGTAAATTTCTTAGTTCACAATTATGGTATTCTTTAAAGGGTTGTGCTATAGGACTATCTTTTCCTTTGTTTTTAATGTCTCTCACATGTTCTCCTATCCGTAGCCAAAATTGTCTTTTACATATATCTTTTTACAGGGGCACATTAGTTGGTAAATCACTTTTTCTGTAGATCAACTTATAAATTGAGTAATTTTAAATGTTTGTGCACATCTGAACTCTGAAACGCTTTTGATTTGTTTACATAGGAACATGCCTGACACTTCCCACAAGGGAACATTCCAGTTATCCTCCCATGGTCAGATAGCCACATTTTCTGTGTACTTGGAAAATATTCCAATTTAACTACCGTATTTGCCGGCATATAAGGCGACTGGGTGTATAAGACGACCCCCTAATTTTCCACTTAAAACATAGGTTTTGGGCTATACACGTCATATAAGACTACCCCACTTCCGAGGCAACACCATTTAAAAACATCATGGTAATACTGTATGTACGGTAGCTTCGGCTACATACAGTATACCACGCTGAGCCAATCACGGCGAGCGATGTATTCTATTAATGAATACAAAGCATGCTTGGATTGGCAGAGGTTGTGTACATTGCTCACCGTGATTGGCTCAGCTCGGTATACTGTATGCAGCCGAAGCTACTGTACATACAGTATTACCGCACATCCAGCGGGCTGACAGATTAGGGATGTTCGTTTTGGGCCACCTTGGCCCAAACAAACTAAAGGTATACATTGTATAAGACGACCCCCGATTTTCGGGGGATGTTTATAAGTATAAAAAGTAGTCTTATACGCCAGCAAATACAGTAGATGGTCTTTAAGATTCCAAGCTTTACCTGCCACCATCTGCTAGGGTAGGGCAGAGCTGCAACACGTGCCAATGGCGTTTCATTATTGTTGTTAATTCTTCCCACTTTGAACCAAACTGGGTAATCATTCTAATTGGACCATCGACTTATACCGTCTTCTTCTCTTTCCAAAACAGCATTTCTTCTCTAGCTCTACTGTTAATTTTTCGTTGATTATTTTTAAGGGTCTTATGAGACTAGCCTCTCTTCCTAAATCTGTGATAGAGGTATCTTGATCCCTCCGTATAGTCTTCTTTAAGGGTTCAGTTTCGTTTAATACAATGAAACTGTCCTGTAGGTATACCTCTTATCAGAGACTTTGGATGGTGGAATGTGGCATAGAGGAAAGTGTTAGCTGCGGTTTCTTTTCTAAAAGTTTTGGTCACGAAAGTACCATTCCTTATCTGTATATCAAGGTCCAAAAATGATATCCGCATATCACTTAATACATATGTGAGTTTGATGTTCCTGTCATTTTGGTTCAATGTATGTATGAAATTGCAGAACTCGTCCCTTGTGCCCTCCCAGATAATCAGGATATCATTTATGTACCTGAGCCACAACTTAATGTGGACCAGGTAAACAGGACAGCTATATAATTCCTGTTCTTCACAATATCCCGGATGGAGACAGGCGTGCGTCGGAGCCCATGGTGCACCCATCGAAGTGCCTGTAAAATCCACCTGAGAATTTGAAGAAGTTGCTATTCAAGGCATAATCGAACAGCTCCACAATTAATTAATTTTGTGAAGCTGCATATGGATAGTATTTTTCCAAAAAGAACCTTAATATGGTCTGGTATGCTCCTAACTGCACAAAGTAATTTGATGGAATATTTGTACATCTTTCATTACTGTAACAACCCTGTATATTTCTTACATAAACATGATAATGTATTTCACAGGGTTTTGACGCTGATAATATTATTTGCACAGTACCTGCGGAATGTTTCCCTTGTTTTGCCGTGTTACAAATTTGGAAAAGGAATTACCTTTTATAGAATGCAAATCTTCAAAATGTTTCCAGTAAGTAAAACAATATTGGTAAACAATTTCTTTAGAAATGAATCCTATCAGTTCAGTAATACCCATGATTTATTGATGATAACAAATATTCAGCTACAACTACTTTAGGGAATTTGTAATATATTTTGGTTAATTGTATTTTATTTTTTCCAGTTCTACATAAACTAATGTTTTATTTGATTTTTTTGTTTAAATGTATTTGTATAAAACCTTTATTTTACAAATAAACATTTATTACTGTATGTACATGTATTATGTAGTAAACATTTATTAGTGTCCCACTTCTGACTTATTCTGGCCTAATTTTAGGACAAGGTCTGTCTAGAAGGAAGAGACATTACTCACTATAGTCTAGTCTTGCTCAATAACATTATCCTGCTGCTGGCCAATTTAACACTGCTGTATTATCTATGGTCTCTTAAAGTGACACTTAACTCAGGAGTTGAATACATTTTTAGGTTTTAAGTACTATTAACAAAAATGTCGCTTATTTGGGCGATGATGCTGTAGATCTTCAAATCATCGCTAAGGCTGGGTTCACACCTGGGCGTATTTTTTCTGCTCGTTTTTTTTCGCGTTTTAGCACGTTTTTCTGTTCAGTGAAACGCGCGTTTCACTGGTGGTATGATGTTTCTTGATTTTTTTTTTCCTTATTTTCTCTTTTTACATTTTTTTTTCACTTTCAAACTTTCCGCCCCCCTGCGACGCGGCCGCTCGCAAGGGACGGAACCTGGAAGTCACCAGCCGCCGGAGGACACAGCGAGGATCGCGGACAAGGTAAGACCTGTACGCTGTATTCCCGAGTGTGACTCAGGGTTACCGCTTTGTTAACCCCGATCCACACTCGGGAATACCAATGGAAATGCGTTCGGAAAAACGCCCCAAAGAAGCTCCTGTACTTCTTTGGGCGTAGGGCGTTTTTCAGCGCGTTCCTACGCGTTGGAATACGCCCAGGTGGGAACCATGCCCATAGGAAAGTATGGGATTTCACTTGCTGGGCATTTTACAGCGCGTCGATCAGCGCTGTAAAATGCCTAGGTGTGAACCAGGCCTAAGTTGGTGCTGACACTGTCCTTTCTGGATACTTTTGTTCCCCATGGCCCCAGAGTGTGTTGTAAAGTAGCCACCGCTCCAAGCTCACTCCTGTGATGGACTACAATCTGGATACAAATTAGTAAACTAAATGTGAGAATGTAGTCCATCTTGGAGTGGTGGATACATTACAACACACACAGGTATGAAGGGGAACAAAAGTAGCCACCCTCCAGAATCAAAGACAGTGTCAGCACCAATTCAGAGATGATTTGAGAACCTACAGCCAAGTGATACACAAATAAGCAACATTTTTGTTAATGGTTAAGATACTTGAATGCATTTTTAAGATTTAACTCCAGAGTTTAGTGTCACTTTCATTCTTATAGTAAATTACCTGCTTGTATTCTGTGTTTCTAATACATCTTTGGCAATTTTCACTAATTGAAAATGCTCTGCCGCTGGCCAGTTTTACATTGCTGCATCATCTGCAATCTCTTAAATAGAAATTGGCCAACAACAGGAATGTTTTGCATAAGCAAGAACAGGCATAGCCTCAGCGGACAACTGCCAGTTTCTATCTGTCGGTTAAAGTGTACCTATGACCACATGCTAAAAAAAAGCACGTGTTGCTGTTTAAACAACTTTAAAACAGCCTTTTAACAAGTTAAAATGAAACAGATTGGGCTGCTGCTGTATGGAAGATAAGCTCTTTGTACAAGAAAAAAAATTAATTCCACAACCCAGGATCATTACTGGGATGGTGGGAACTCTGGGGCACCCAATAGAGAGGAAAAAGACCTAGCGTGCAATGCCAAATGGTGGGAGGGGTTTAAAGAGGCATGCTTAAATAAAACCTGAGCGTATTCACTGTATACATGGCACACAGATGCTACAGTCATTGTACACACAAAATATGCTTTAATAACTGTGCCACAAGCAAATGTCTCACAGACACATAAACTACATCACAATCATTTTAAAGTGTACCTCTAGGCAAAACTTTTTTTAAAAAAAATTTGGATGGAGAAGGTTAGACCTTCTGTCAGGTTTTCATTAATGTGGGTTTCTCCATTGGGGAGATTCACTTTCTGACCATTAACAATGATACAGAAAATGAAAGGAAATCCATAGTTTGAGTTGTTCCCAGAGTCCCCAGAGATTTCCAACTAGATCATCTATTCCAGGGGCAAACATCTAAACGTGGAATTCTCCTTATTTTGAGAGAATTTCTCTAACTTTCTGTTGGACAGGAAGTAAAAATAAATTTCCCAAATGGTACACATCCAGCACAAAAATAAACTGGCAGGGGTTCTGGGTATGCATGCACTTGAACGAAAGTGAAACACTTCAATTACATATGCTCTTATGCACACAGTCTACCATAAACAAGAACTCTATTAAATAGTTATTGACTACTTAACAACCAACAGTTGTTAAAACAATAAATACTTTGGTCAGGCGGATGAAAATGTACAATATATAATAAAGAGTGCATGGATCAAGAGCATATAATGAACGTAGAATGTAGACGTCAGGAGTAGGGATGAGCTAAGGTTCGCATCAAACCTGGTCCAAACATGAGCTCCTCCGAGCATAGAGATAAACTGCTTCCGTTGCCACCCAATCAGCTGTGACACAGGAATTTCCTGCCTACAGCTGCATGTAAGAGCTACGAGACGAGGCTACTAAATTTAAACATGTTCACATTAGAGGTGAGGAGATTAAGGGGGGATATGATTTCCATGTACAAAATGTTTAATGGTGGTAGCAACATTAGCGATAAACTGTTTAAAATTAACTCCGTTACAAAAACTAGAGGCCATCACCTAAAATTGATGGAAAAAAAATTCCAGCACAAGGGGCGAAGGGGGTTCTTCACAGTAAGATCAGTTAGGGTCTGGAACTCACTGCCACAGGCGGTGATTTCAGCAAATAATGTGGAATTGTTCAAGAAACTTTTGGACGATTTCTTAAGGGACCGTAATATACAGGGGTACGGGTACTCCTAGAATGAGATCCTAATAGGTTGGACTTGATGGACTAATGTCTTTATTCAACCTCAAATACTATGTAACTATGTAACTATGTAAGAAAAAGGGGCACATGGCTATATTTGGTAAGTGACACTGAACCTGAGCTCACCCCTAGTCATGAGTATGTACAGTGGTCCAGTGGTCAAGAGTTTGTAATATACAGCTTGCAGTGGTCAGAAGTAGAGATGCACAGATACTTTTCGAGTACCAGTGCAGATACTTGGCATTTTCATGAGAACTACCAGGGTTGCAGCGGTTGCAGCTGGGACCTGGCTCTGGCCCTCCACCTCTGTCCTGAAATCATTAGTCTGTATTGATTTAGAAAAATTGTCAAAAATGTATCAGTACTCGTACTTGTAAGTACTCGGCAAGTACCAGTACTCGTACTCACAAAACTAGTATCTGTGCATCCCTTTATTTATATTTATAAAAACAAAATCGTACATTAAAACAGAGATGTACAAATCCCAGGAGCTCTGTGTGCTCCTTACAAATGACAGCTGCCTCCTAATCTTTGAATTTTTCTCTAGTCTAGTCTTGGAGCTCAAAAGTATCGGTACATGTACTCGTACTTGTACCGAGTACTGTACTTGGTATCTGTGCAACCCTAGTCAGAAGTATAACATGTTCATAAAATGTATATATTACAGGGTTCAGGAGTGCATAATTCACAGAGTGCCAGGCTCAAGAGCAGAGATTAAATGTGCATACCTGTGTGGAAGAAGAGAAGGGGTTATGAGAGGATGAAGTCCTTATCTGTTGCCTTTTTAAGTGCGTTATCGACACCTATTTTTAGTATTTTAACATAGACATTTTGCTTGACATAGACATAGCAAAAGTGCCTATGACTTGATCCACTGTGACAGGATCTCTTAGCACATAAGGAATTAGGAACTTATGGCAAGAACTTGGGAAGTCTTCCCTTCAGACTCCTCTAACTCCTTCCACTGAGCCATCCTGGTCACAGCAGCTGGTCTCTGTAGTTTGGCAAGCTGGCCAGTGTAACCACATTTGCCGCTTGTACTTGTAGAGCCAGGCAGGTTATATGTGTGAGGGAGGACTGCCCATTTACCTACCTCCCACATTCCATCAGTAGTAAAAATAAAACAGGGAAAGGTGCCCTGAGTCAAAATGGTGACCATGGGAGAAGGTGGCATTTGCCACTCCCACAGCACAGAGTGCCGGCCCGTTAGCAGCTGGCCACTGGTCCCATATTTCCTGTAGAGGAAGCCTTTTCCTATGTAGAGGCCCTTACTGGAAATAATCATTTTTCTATGTAGATAATAACCCTCCTTTACTCCAGGCCCCTTGTCATTTGCAAAGACATTAAAGTGAACAACTTTGCACTTTTTAATATGTGAACCATTTATATATTCATGCAAGGTGATTGCATCCCCCTTAATTGCGTTTTCTCATGGGAGAATAAATTCAGTTAATCTCATAGCTAAGAAACTCTGTCTTAATTTAGTTGCTCTTCTCTGCATTGTCTTCAGTTTCTAAACATCCTTTTATCTCGTGTTCCTCTTTTGTTTGCTCTGCTTTTGATAATTACCATTGGGGTACCATTGGTGTATAGTGCAGTTACTTTGGGTATTCGTTGGCATGCATGCAGTACTTAAAGTAAATGATAGATTCCTTTTGGCAGTATAAAGTTTATTTTTGAATTTGGCTGCACATTTGAAGCCTTTATCTATATTCTAATATGCATCCTGTAGGGAAAGCAACGTAGAGTGTATCCACACATTCTAAAATCCTTCTGTTTATTTATTGTGATTGAATGGCAGACACCTAATATGACTGTTTTGTACACATTTAAGGGAATTTCACTGAAAGCAAACTAGAATTAACATTGCTTTCTTTTTCAGATTATCATGGCTATTATGCTTGTGTGGCTGCTTTCCTATATTCTGACATTAACTGATGTGTTTCCATCAGACAGTAAAGCAAGAACTGATGCAAGAGGTGACATAATGTCCAGCTCTCCATGGTTCCGTTTCCCATACCCTTGTATGTATTTTTTTAAATTCATGATTTACATAGTAGCTAAAGAAAATTAACTGATGTTTAGATAGTATAGTAGGCAGTTACTTATCTGAGATTTCTAACATTCTCTACTGTAAGCAGACATCTCAACTCTCCCGGATGTTCCGGGAGTCTCCCACATGTTCCGGGAGTCTCCCGCTATTAGATAGCGGCTCCCGGGCACCAGGGAGAGAAACATTTTCTCCCGGAAAGGTTTACTCTGCTAGATCTAGCAGAGTAAACCTTTCCGTGCTGTCTGTTTGTTTTTTGTTTTTTTCTGACATTGGGGCCGCTGGCCGACCGTCAGTCATGAAAAAAAAACGGCATAGGAACTAATAGCTGGATTGCTATTTCAGTTTGCAATAGCAGACTAGCTATTGCACCCGCCCACTTCTACTGTCAATCAGCAGAGGTTGACCTGAAGTTCTCTATCAGGTCCACCTCTGCTGACTGACAGCAGCAGAGGGCGGGTGCAATAGCCAGCTTGCTATTGCAAATTTAAATAGCCCATAGCAATCTAGCTATTAGTTCCTATGCCGTTTTTCTTTTCTTTTGTCCTGACGGCAGCAGCTGTCAGAACACTAAAAGAAACAGCAAATAGCAAAGGAAACATTAGCTTCTTTGTTATCTGCCATCATTTCACTTCCTTGTTGTTGTTGCACCCCGCCTGAAATGAGAAGGCAGACAGAGAGCACCTGCCTGAAATGAGAAGGGCACCTCCCTGAAATGACTTATTTCAGGTTGGGATCCCTGTGTAAGTGTCTATGCTGCCTCTACCCTAGAGGGTCTATGGCGGGGGTGGGGAACCTCCTACAAATCCCATGATGCATCTGTCTCTGGGAGTCATGCCTGCGATTGTGAGAATATTGCAATGCCTCATAGGATTTGTAGATTCACCACAGCTGGAGGGCCGTAGGTTCCCCACCTCTGGTCTATGGTGTGGATGTTTTTTTCACTGTGTCCTCTGTGTTTCTGGGTGCCATGGGTGTTTGCTTTTATTTTTTTTTAAAAGGCAATAAGGGTGCCTGCAGAGTCCGAAGAATGTGAAACATGCAAACCTATTGGATTTGAGAGAATACAGTTTATCTATAGGTTGAACTCGATGGACTTGTGTCTTTTTTCAACTTGAAAAAACTATGTAACTATCTATGCGCACACCTAAAAAAAGAAAGAAAAAAAAATTATGGCTAGCTATAGAAACAGGGTTGGGAATCCACCTGCATTTTCCAACCACTGCCAGCTTGATGACAGTTCTTTGTCTCCACAGTATATTTCCCAACCTGACACTGCAGCTTTCTCTCTGGTCTTTAAGCAAAAAAAAACCAAAAACTAAGGGCTACTTCAAAGCATATCAATTGACCTGTGTTGCTTAATGCAGGCCAAGCAAGCTGAAATCTATTGTTTCCAATAGGAAACAGTGCTCCCATTTATGTGCTGCCTTGATGGTCGATGTGCGCTGGCGGAAAATTTTGCCTTTAAATGCAGTACAACACACTACATTTCACAACACATGTTAACCACTTGCTGACCGGGGTGTTAAATCCCCTTCCTGTCTAGGACATTTTTCAGTATTCAGCGCTGCAGTAGTTTGGCTGACATTTAGTCCGTCATGCAACGCTGTACTGAAATTTATTTTATACCATTTTTTGGGTACCGATAGAGCTTTCTTTTGGTGGTGTTTTAATCACAACTGGGGTTTTTATTTTTTACTATAGTAAGTAAAAATTACCAAACATTTAAAATTACATTTCCATATTAAATTATGAAACATTTATTATGACCCAATTTTTTGGTAAAATATAAAAGATGGGGTCACGTCGGGTAAGTAGACACCAAACATGTCAAGCCTTAAAATTGTGCACGCCCGCAAAACCTCACAATACTACAATATCCAAAATTGGCCATAGGCGACGCTTTAAAAGCTTTTACCGCTCATCAGTTTAGTGTTATCAGGGATTGAGGGCCCTAAAATGATCTCTGTGGCTCTCACTCCAACGTTCACGGCGATATGTAACGTGTAGCGCAATTGTCGTTTTTTGCACGCCGGCACATCTGACGCGTATTTACTTTTATTGGTGCGTAAACGTGGGGGACTTAAGTGTTTTAGGGGGTTTTATGTACTTTTTTTATATGTGACTTTTATTTCATTTTTTTACTTTTATTATACACTTAATGTTATAACAATCCCCCTATCTGATGGCACAATGACAGGTCCTCTTTATGGAGACAGTAGAGGTCTCTAAGACCCCTAATGTCAGCTGGGGACCCCCAAAGAAGCTGATGAAGCAGAGATCTGCTTCACCAGCTTCTTCTCTGGCTATAGCAGCCAGAGATATGACAGCTGAATGCAGAAGTACTGTATTACACATTACTTCCACATTCAGACGTCGGAGGAAGTTCAGCAAGGAGGAAGATGCTGATATCCCTCCCATCTTCCTCTTGACACCCTCCTGAGCCAGTCCTGGGCTGCAGATGGGGCAGCGGAGCCCAGAATTGAAGGTGAGGGTGCAGGGGGGGACACAGCCGGACAGCAGCACTGAGGAAGGTGGGGGGGCACGCGCAGGGCAGCACATACAAGCGATCGGATGGCTATAGAGCCGCCGATCGCTTGTATGTGAAACAGCCGGTAACGGCTGTTTGCAGAGGACAGTTTTTTTTCTGCCTGTGCAGAAAACAAAAGCCGTTTATTTACAGCAACCCGCCAATGGGAGTTTGCCGTCCATGCGGTTTTTTACAACAGGTGGATGGCAAGCAGTTAAGGAAAACAAATTAAAATATTTTGACTACTGCTATGAAAAAAACACATCAACACAAGGCCTTAAAAAAAACATTTATTTTTTTAATATTTTGAATAGAATAGGTAGTATTTAAAGCCCCTGTACGGTTATTTGGGGCTTCTGGGTCTCATCAGGAAGATTTCTCTTCATCTCCTGTCCTGCAAGTAAATCCTCTCTTTAGCTGGCCATAGACCTATAGATTATCTGCAGATTTCCTATAGTCAGATGCAAAAAGTGCAACAGGATTCTCCATCTTCACATAGTTGGAGTCATTCTGCATTACTGTATAATCATCATACATCAATGCAGAATACCAGCAGCTATGCGGGACTACCTGCTATGCTGGTACCTGTAGTTGTACAGCCTCCACATATTACCTAGGGAACTAAAAGTCCCAGCATGCCCTCAGTGTACCTGTACACCCTGCCCCCACACACATACACATATCTCACAGGGAACTACAAGTCCCACCATGCAGTGGCGTCACAAGGGGGTGCGGCCCGCACCCGGGTGCCACCATTGGAGGCGGTGTCATGTGGTGTACAGGCATAATGAGGGCATGCTGGGACTTGTAGTTGTACAGCCTCCGCGTATCAGCTAGGGAACTACAAGTCCCAGCATGCCCTCACTGTTTCCACTGCCGATTACTGGGCAACAGGGCACCATACAATTCCCAAAACTTCATACTTTCATTTTTCCCACTGCCAAATAATCAGCAACAAGGTACCATTGAATCCCCATAGCCTCATGCTTTGATTTTTCCACTGCCAATTTCTCGGCAACAGAGTACCAAACAAACCCCAATGCCTCATGCTATGATTTTTCCACTGCTAATTACTCAGCAACATACAATTCTCAAAGCCTTAAACTTTAACCCATGAACCACACCATTCTTCATCACACCCCCAGGTGACTTTCCTGAAAACACAGAGCCTATCTTGCAACCCTCATCTATAAGTCAACATTGCACTGGGTGACAGGAACAGACGCTGCCCCAGAGTCTAGGGTCAAATGTTTCCTATTTGTTATAAACAGATACTACCCATCAGGAACAGCCACCGTCCCACAACCCAGAGGTCAGAAAGAGCCAGCCCATTACTCCTCCCTCCTACTTCCTCCTCCCCTCCTCTGGAGCTTGAATAGAACAGATAAATTCCTTGCAACCAAGCACACCCCACCTCTGGATCACCCGCAGACACACCCACCAAGAAGTGTTTCCTAGGTCACTGGAACACTATAAGTAATCCCCCAGCAGCCCCCTGCACATGTACACATACCAGGAGACTCTGCCACATCTCAGCAAGGTACTGTCCTTCCATATCTCTCTCTTTCTCTTCTATAGAACATAATCTCCAACCCGCATGCACTGAAATGTATACTGATGGCCTCCTGTAACTTGCTTCTATCAAAAATTGTGATGAAATAAATATAACCCCCACACTGCTACCATACAGGATGTATGTATTGTATCATCAAATAAGGTGCCTATATGTCAAATATAATCTTTTATTATGGTTAAAAAGATATTATTTAAAATAGGTTTCCAACAGATATCAGCATTCTCTTTATATATTTGTGACATTGATATTTTATATTTTTGTTGTTTATATAACTTTTATCTGTTAAGAGTCTCTCCACACCCTCCTGAAGAAGTGACCAGCAAGAGCCATGAAACACATTGAGACAGTGTTTTTTATGTCAATAAATACCCACTTATTGAAGAACCACTTAGATATCTTATTTCTGGGAGCCTCTGCTATCACTGACTTTTGGGGTACATTTTTCCTGCCTGCTAAACACTCTGTTGCCTTTAGAAAGTAGAAGCAAAAAACGTATTGAGATGCACAGATCTATCATATAAATCTAAATTGGATATGGACACATAAAATGTCTTGCTTTGTGCGTATTATTTACATTTTATTTTGTATATGACTCCTAGATTACCTCCCTCTGCTCCTGAAGAAGCGCCTTAGCTGCGAAACGCGTCGAGATTTATCTTCCAAGAAATTTTCACCCCTTTAAGATTGTTGCTCCCACCTGAGGTTTAGTAACTCAACTACATCCTCTCTTTTGATCTACACGTGATGTTCTCGTTATATGTATAAGATTATGAGTACATAGACCAACCTTGGTTGTGGAGCACAAGGGCTGATAGGAGGTTTTTTGTCAATCCCTGTTGTGCATATGTTTTATACATGCTTTGATGCATATCCATTGATTTTAGTCATTTGTTTAATAAATTTATACTTTTTTACATA